TAATCATCACTCAAGCAAGTGAAATTTGATGTAATGCTCTTATTATAAACTTAAAATTTCATAAACGGGTTTCAGAGTAAGTAAAATTGTGTACTCAGGCCTTACAGACACCTGCCAATTTATACTAGTTCATTATTGCCATCAGAGCTGTGTGTAAGGTCTGATTTGGCCAGGTAATGCAAAATTGAAAGAAATCAATAAGGTATTTTTTGTTTCTAGTAATTTTGTCTTGTAAATCAGAAAATAAACTAATATTTGAGTGAGATCATTCTACATATTTTTACAAGCTTCAGGAAGTTAGAAACAAATATATTTAGACTATATATTTTTTTTCCAAAAAAAATTATTGTTTATTTATTTCAAAATCTCTTAAACCTAAGCCAGGACCTTTCCCTATCTGTAAAGCTACTGCCCCTTTTGCTCCATCTAGTGGAACATTGATTTTTGCTCAGTATTAACAGAATACATAATACAACCTCTGCCTCCTAAAGACAGATAAAATTTGTACTGCTAGTTCTTACTCTGAAGTGAAATTACATTTATGAAGCAGTCATTTCATCTCTTTCTACAACAACAAAACCATAGACTTTTATAAGCACAGTATGGTAAATTTGGAAGAAGCAAATTTGCTACATTCTTTACTTTGCAAGAAGTAAACTACCTGAAGTAATTCAATTTCTCTACTGAATAAGTAAAAGGAAGCTTGCTTGCATCATTAGGGAAGGTTAGTCTAATAGCAGTCTCTGAAGTTCCACAATTAATAACAAAGGCAAATTCTGTTCATAAAGTTTGAGGTAAAAGTTAAGAGGAAACGAGGCATTTTCTTTAGCAAATATAATTAACAAACCAACACATTTTAAAAATGTATTTTCTTCACCTAAAGTGTTTTTTTAATAATTTTCAAGGTTAATAAAATATATTAATATTAATAACAAAATAGCACTATTAACATTACATATATGCATTTATTTCTTATTCTGGGTAATGAATAACTGCTTATTAAAGTCCTTATCCAAAATGACAGGCACTTATTTGTTAGAAGTCTGATGTCGCCAAAGGCAATATTGCTTCTGATACTATAGTCTAATATAAAAACCCAGTACACAATTTTCCTTTATTCTCCAATCCCACCCCAAGGAGTCAAAGTATTTTAAAGAAGTTTAATTTCCTCCTCATGAATTTTTTTTTTTAATGAATTGAAACTTTCTTGTCAGGAATGGAAAATTCCATGGCAGTCATGGCCAGTAAAACTGTGCACATGTATGGTTGAATATTGTGGAGCTAGCTCCATAGTAAAAACTGGCAATGACCCATATGTATTAAAAGTGGAGTGTCCCCAACTTATTTGAAAATTTACCTACTTAAATTATCCTCCAACCTATTGCAATTTGATTTATAATCTGCTGTTTCAACAAACTAAATGAACCCATTAAAAACAAACATACTGTAGATATTTATATCGGGAATAAAATTTCTCCGGGGAGGATGCAATTTATGGAAGCAGAAACATTGGAAGGAAGTAACAAATTGAGGTCCTGGTTTTCTAATGAAGAATTGGAAATTGAGTTCTGCTCAAATAAGCAGGAAAAAAAAAAGAGATGTGATTATTTTTCACTCATTAGCATTTAGGTCAGTAGCAGGATATTTCACAAGTTTTAGATAGCTTTTTTTAAAAATAGATTTAGTAATTATTTTGTTAAGTTTAATTTTTATAGTCACATATGCAAGTTATTGATAGAAAGGCAGATTATCTACATATGCTACCCTGCATTTAATTATGATAAATACAAATTATCTGTCTATAACTTCAGAACTAGATTCTAATGAGGAAGAGTCTGCCTACTAGATTCCAGAAGAACAAAACAGATGCAGGTCTGCCCAGAATCTGGTTCTTGGGACAGATGGACTTTTATTGCACGTCATGGTCTGTCTGACAGGCTTATAAACAAGATATAATCTTGCCTATGATTAATATTTTCTCTTACATAAATATTTGAAAGACACAGCATGTATCTTTTCTATCAATATGTTAAGTATGCTACTACCTTCAAGATACTTTGAATTTTATGTAACAATGAAATTGACATCCTCAAACAAACGTTGTTTTTCCTCAAAGTCTGCAAACAGCATTTCCATTACATGAATGGCAAAGTGGAAAAACATGTTCATGGTTTCACTTTGATTTCCACAACCTTTTGTCAGAGGCCACATGCCTACTTGGAATTATTATCCAACATGTAATTACTCACAAGCAGATTAACGAATGGTATACTACCATTTTTTTCACAATAAGGTATTTTAAGGATGTGGCAAGCCCCTGTTGCTGGTGTAGAAAATGAAATTAGTCCCTTGGAGAGGATATAATCAATGCCGTGTTAATCTAACTTTCAGCTGTTAATGATTTGCCCGAGGATTCCCCTTGATGCTGAAATATTGTTTTAAGAGTTTCTGTTAAATCCCCCTTCTTGTCTTTTGCCGAAAGGGGATTGAGTGGAGTGGATCCTGTGGATCAACGTTTCTTCTCTGCTTGTGTGTGTGTGTGTGTGTGTGTGTGTGTGTGTGTGTGTGTGTGTTTAATAGGAACAAAATACATGAAAATATTTTTACATTTCTTTTTCAAATAATCTGCTTTGCTGAAATGTTGCAAGTAGAAAGTTATGAAAAATAAAGTCCTTGAAAAACTTACAAAATTATCCACAATTTCATAATTTAGAATTGCTGTTCAAACCTACAGGAACAACAACAACAACAACCAATTTGACATTCCCTTTCAAAATACAATTATGGAAAAATATGCTCCACATTCAAGTTCACAGCATTTCACCTTTCTTTCAAAGAGCACCAGGGTAAAGAACTAGTGTTAGCTTAAGGAGTACTGTGGGGAGTGGGATGTGAAGGAAAAGAACTGTGTGTTCCATGCTGGAAGGACTGCATTTTTTTGGTCTTTCTCACTCTCTCTCTCCCGTTCTCTCCCTCTCTCATCTTCTCTCTTTCTTTCTCTCCCTGTCTGCCTCTCTCTCCTCCCCATCTCCCTCATCCTTTATAGATATAAAAATCTATATCATATATATATGATACTTGTGTATCCTGTTAAAATTCCATACCCTAATCCTCAGTGTTGCTGAGCAGATTTATGCAGTATATATTTCTAGTGGTTACCATGTTATGATAAGAGAATAATCTAATTCCACTTGTGGCCACAGCCAAATGTGGAAAAGTAAAAGTAATGCTGAAGCGTTCATACAGCTCCTGATGTCTCCCTGAGCTCTTAATAAATTCGTTCCAACACAACAAAATATGTGATCCCCAATTGTACCTTCAGGGTTCCTCTCAGTTATCAAGTTATTCTTAAAGTTCATCAGTTGTTGCATTTCCATGAACTCATACACTTAACTTCTTCAGAATGAACTACAGTAAACAACTGGGTTGTTTGCAATAATCAAATCTACATGTCCTTTGAGTATGTTGAATGTATTTCTTGTTCAGTTTTGTTCAAGGGAGACAGAAGATAGAGGAAATTATGTATAATGGTAAACTCTTATTTAGCGTATTCTGGGAATTAACTACAAAGAACTTGAGATATTTTCCTCTGACAACAACGTGCACACATAAGAGTAGTTTTTCAGACATTATTATGATGATTGTGATAATGATGATTATTTTATACCCATTAGCCTACTTTTCCATAGTAACACTTATGAAAGAAATTTTACTTTTAGGTTCATTGTTATCTAAACAATTTTTACAATTACATGAAATTATTCTACCTTTTCTTGAATATCTTTGCATTTTCATTTTTAAAAATCCACCTTGGGGGATACCTCGGTGGCTCAGTTGTTAAGCATCTAACTCTTGGTCAGGATCTCAGGGTTTCGTGAGTGCAGGTCCTACGTTTAGCTCTGTACTGACAGTGCAGAGTCTGCTTGGGATTCACCCTCCCGCCCTCTCTCTACCCCTCCCTGCTGCATGCACACATCACCCTCTCTCTGTCTCTCAAAATAAATTAATAAACTTTAAAAAATATATTAAACTAAAAAAAAATCTAGCATGTACCTGATAACATTCCAGGCAGAGGAGTTAAAATTATGAATAAAGATCCTTCTTGCTCTCAAGATGCATGCAAGTTATTAGGAAGGGCTGGGAAGAAAACAGGTGAGCATAATACCATGTGACAATTCTAATCTGGGGTAAGCACAAGAACACATGAGGCCATAGTGAAGTGGTGTCTAAAGTAGGCTTAGGAAGAAAGGGAAGATTTGCTGAACAGTGTGACTCTTCAAGAAAAGTCTATGTTTAGACATAAGAAATGAATTAGAGTTAGCCATATGAATGGCTTTCCAAGCAGAGAGAAGCATGTGTGACATCTGGGCAATGGCAAATGATGAAGGATGGAAGGAACAAATATTGGAAAGAGGGAAGGAGAATGAAGAAAGCAAAAGCAAGGATAGATGGACAATGGCTTCAATAGATCAGGAAAAAAATTCAGATATTATCCTTAGGCAATATGGAAACTATGAAGAATTTTCACCAGATCCACATCATGGAAATGTTTGGCTGAAAATGAGGTAGCACTAGAAACAGGACCAGAGACCACTTAGGAGATCATGTAGTAATACAAAGCTTTGTGCAACCTTTAGTAGGGGGTGTCTATATCCCAGATTGCTAGAGCATGTGAATTTGCCAGGGGCAAATAATTTTCCAGTAGAGAACTAGACTTTAACTCAGGACTGGGACTAGGTGAAACACTCTGTGCACAAAATTTAAGCGGGGGGCAATAAACTCAGTAATCAAGATAAATAATATTTAGAACAATATCTTTTAAAATGAATACAAAAACAGATCTACGGTGAACAAAATATAAAACATTTAAATAATGACAGTAACTGAATTCTTTGGGGATATATGTGAAAACAGACAAACTCCCATACAATGGGTTCCTTTTCCATCTTATTTAGAGAATTTCAGTTTATTCACTCTATATGGCCAACCAACTAACTCACCTTGGAAGCCGAGAAAGAATGCCGGCTGACATTGATGTTAATGCATCATCCAAACGACCTGGTGCCTTCCCTTTGAGAATCCAGCTGACAACCAGTTCAAGAAGCATTAAGGAAATGAAAAATGGAGTTGCCTGGAAAGGAAATGGCACAAAAAAAGATGCTATTGTGCTCGGTATGAAATTTTTCCACATTTCCTGATTAGTCATTCCAGAAGTAGGAGGCCCAGAGTGACATCTCGTAGGAGAAGGCATATACCTATGCTAGAGGATCATTTCCTCCCAATAGGCAAAGAAATCTGATTATTTCGGACATATACTAAACAGGTGCTCAAAATCTATCATCCAGTTTGTAAATGAAATATAACCATCGACGTAGCCATGATAATTCTGCCAAGAAAATAGTAAGATTAGGAGGGATGGGTTTCAAGTTAGATCTAAAAAAAATACATTTTAAAATAAGTACAATAATCAGAAGTCTATTATCTATAAGATGGACCTTCTTTTAAAGGCTTTACTTAGGATGCACATATTGCTAGTTTTTTTTTTTTTTTTTTAATATCAGAATTATAGGAATGACAAAATTGAGACTGTAGGAACAAAGAATTTTCTTCTGAGTTTTTGAGAGGATTTGATCATTTAAAATGTGTATTTATTTTTAATTTTTTAAATTTTTTAATGTTTATTTATTTTTGAGAGAGAGACAGACACAATGTGAGCAGGGGAGGTGCAGAGAGAGAAGGAGACAGAGAATCCAAAGCAGGTTCCAGGCTCTGAGCTGTCACCACAGAACCTGATGTGGGGCTCGAATTCATGGATAGTGGGGTCAGGATCTGAGCTGAACTCGGACGTTCAACCAACTGAGCCACCGAGGCGCCCCTAAAATGTGTATTTAAAATACAATTCAAGTTTTATTCATTCAAATGTATTTTTGTGTTGTAATAGGTATTTTTAGGCTCTACCATGGATAACAAATATTAAACTAAGCTTGGTATTATAATACAAAAAAATGATTTATGAAGATGTGAGTACCACATTTTTCGTCTTAAAAAACTCAGAAAGAAGGAGTAATATCAAATCCTGAAAAAGTTATGGGTTTCACTCACTTGGAAGCTGATCATGAATTCCGAAGTTTCTAAACTGAACTCCCAAGAACATATTCTCTGATGTCATTTTTTTCCCCTTATTTCTGGTCTGAACTAGTAAGTGTTATAGGAACAACTTTGACAGGGTGGGGAACTTAGGTATTCAAGTTCTAATTCTGGATATTTCCACTTCCAATCATAGCCAGGAACCAGAAGTAAAAAGTGCCTCTGAACACTTCAGAATTTCAAAGAAAACTTGGTTCAAGTTCAAACTTAGGAAGTCAGAGTTGGACTCAGTCAGCTCTATATCCATTCTGCAGAACTACTCTACCAAATTAAAGAGGAAATAGTTTCCTGGGAGGTGGTTTGCCCTTTAAAACCAAAATTGTTACAAAGTTTACTGATGTCATATAACCATTGAGCTCTGAGCTTCTGACAGCTAAATTTGTAACACCACTGTGTCCAGGAAAACTTCATAAAGTTTTATCATATTCTGCAGTGACATATCTGAGGAGAGGAGGTTAATAGGAGAAACTGGCTATAGGTATTACATTCAAGTAGAAATTCTAATTTTGCTCCGTGCCTTTATGAAACTGAATTATTTTTTTTAGAATTTAACAATTTGAAGAATGAAAGTGAACAAAACCCCAGGATGCGTTGAACTTACTTCTCATTAAGAAAAAAGTCACTGTAGCCTCTTACCAGATAGTCTCACCTGTTTTACATAATCGGGTACCTCTTCCAGTGTTTGGAATGACGTTTCATTGGGCTTCATCATGTAAAACATCATGCGAATTCCCTGGGAAACTGAAACATCCTGTTGGGCTTCTGGGTTCATGTCTGCCCTTGCTTGATTCCCAGCTGGAGAATATTTGTGATTCAGTGGTTGAAGCCAGAGGCTGTACAAAGAGGACGAGCTGTGCTGCACAGAACAAGCCCTTTGTCAGAAAGAACAGCTAGAAACAAAGCTCCGTGGAGAACATAGCCAACAGCAGATTCTGTGTAGGGAGACAGGAAAACACAGAGATCAAGAAGGAGTTCAGAGTTCACTGGGTGCAGGACATGTGAGGGAGGGAAAGGGGAGTAATCAGACCCAAATCAAAGATAAACAGAGGAGTTTGACTGTAGGTGGAGTAACTAAACATTTAAAAATGAAAAGGAGACAAACAAACAAAACAAAGACAAGTGCTTAGAAAGGCGAAGAAAAAAAGTGCTAACAGGTTCATGCTGAAAAAGTGGGTGGTGATTCAAGATTCAAATCACAAAAGAAAAAACTTTTTGTTTTGTTTTGTTTTGTGTATTAATTCACATTGTATTTAGTTTGTTGTCTCTCCACAGATTCCTATTTCCTGAAAGGGCAGTGTGTTGTAATCTCAGTAAGACCAAGTTTCAAAGTCTATAAGTACTGAATATATCACACTGGCTATTGCCTATACGCTTCTGGATTTGTATGGTGTTAACTTCTGAATGTTTGCAAACCTATTTAGGGACATTTGGCTTATTACATGATCTCCCACATTTAATGGAACCTTGGCTAATCACATCTGTATTCTTCTTATGGGGCCTCTCTGAGGAAGCTGACAAGATGTTGCTGCAAGACCTTATCTGTGTTTTGCAGGAGGAGCATACGTTGATTTTGCCTTCCAGGGAGATGAGAGGGCACCTTGTCAATTGGTCACCAGTGAATGAGTGCATGTTTCCTGAATAACTTCAGCTCTTTACCTAGAATGGCAGTGATCACTCATTAGCTACCAACTCATCTTTTAAACATGATTATGTACATTTTATTAAATTATCAATGCATGATTGTTTTAGGAAAAAAAATAGGAACTACAGATAGACAATAAATAAATTAATACCCAGAAACACTATTAACTTTTTGGTGTATGAATAGTCAATTCTGCTGTTTTGTGATATACATGCTGCTAAGTATCAGTATAATATGCAAAGTTGTCCAATAAAAACTATGAGGCTTATGAGAGAAATAGGATTAGGGTGCAATACTCAAAAACTCTGTAATGATCCATAAGGAGGAGGAGGAGGAGGAGCAGGAGGAGGAGGAGGAGGAGGAGGAGGAGGAGGAGGAGGAGAAGAAGAAGAAGAAGAAGAAGAAGAAGAAGAAGAAGAAGAAAAAGAAGAAGAAGAAGAAGAAGAAGAAGAAGAAGAAGAAGAAGAAAGAAGAAGACAACGATGACCAAGACCTGATGGCACTTCATCTTGAAAAAGACTTGACATTTGTTTGTGGAAGTGGGCATTGGAAAGGGGCAGAACTTGAGTTATTGTGGAGAATTGAAGGAGGCTTATCTGAAATGAGACAGAAGGTTATAAAAACAGATACGGGTACTGTGGCTCATAACGTAGAAGTGAAGTGAAGATGACGGTAGTTGCTTAAGATGTGTGAATATGTGCGCGTGTTGTGTATTTTGAAGCCTTTCAGTTCAGTTGGGTGCAACATTTAACATTTGCCTGGCGTTTCTCACAGACAAAATCACGCATAGTTTTGGATGAACAGTTCCAATTATTCCCTAATAGTATCAATACCCTGTTGGAACAAATTAGTACTTTAAAAATACTGCATAAGTGACTGTGCTTTCAGACAGTTCCCATTACAAATGAATACACATACATGTTTAATAAAACTGATCATCCGAAGCAGTACTTTATTACCTGCTTTGAACATTGCTGAAATTACAAATGTAATGCAGTATGGGGCAAAAAATCCAAACACAACTGTTTAACAAGTAAAAATTAGCACCACTCCTTCCCCTCAACACACACACACATAACTTCTCTTCAACTTCATAAATACAATTTCTTTCAGTGGATATTTTGCCATATTTGTGGTTTCCTACAAAAATTTAGTTGTAGTTACCATTATTATTTTCATGATGTAAGTGTGTTCAAACATATGCATATTGTTTGGCTTTATGTAATGGACCATATTAAACATAAGAGATAGCAGCTTTCCTTCCTGGAGTCAACAACTTATCTGGAACATTGTTCCACTAAGTACCTGGTTAGACAGGATTGTTTTGTTTTGTTTTGTTTTGTTTTGTTTTGTTTTGTTTTACTGACTGCAGAGATATATGTGTGTGTATTTGCCTATATTCCAAGCAGGAATACAAAAATACAATATTATTTTAAGTATTTAAAATAGCAGAACATGAATACAAAGAATTAGTTACAGAAATGATGGAAGAAGTGAAAAGTCAAATAGGAGCACAGAACCAATCTAGAGATTAAGATCAATAGGAAGTCACTAGCATCTCTAATCTACAGGGACAAAAAAAAAGGTGGGTGTGTTGATACTGCTCACTCAGTCACCCTTGGGAGGTTTGAACCACGATGGGCTTAATATGATGGTCCACCATGGAGCAAACCCAAAAAACAATACCCAAAGCAAAGAGGAATTAGAAAAATGTATGCTGGCTACTGGCTGCTTCCAGCCAACCAAACTCCAAGCACTACTTTTCATTGGCCTCAGTGAGTGGGAACCAGTTAAAAGAAAAGCCTAGGAAAAGAAGTCTGCAGGGCCTAGTCCCTGGAGATACACAGTAGGGAAGCAGAAGGGGAGGGAATGCATCTGAGGGAAAAGCCAACCAAGGATGAGCACACCATCATAACTTACTTAACTGTTTCTCCACTGCTGTGCAGTGAAATGCAGGGTTCCAGTTTTAGCTAATAAATTTAATGCATCAATGGACATCATGGTATAAATATCTTGTCTACTTGTGTACATTTTTGTGTCAAATAGATTCCTAGCAGTGGAATTATGTTGTTGAAGGGTATGTAAAATTTATGCTTTGATAGTTGCTGCCAAATTCACCTCCAAAACTGTGTTTGACTCTTGCTAAGACTGGATACTATCAATCTTTTATAGTTTTAAGCCAATTGGGGAAAATGACATCTTGTTTTAATTTGCATTTCCCTAGTGATTTTGAAAATCTTTGCAATACATTTATTAGTCATTTATTTTTCTTCATGTGTGATTTATTTGTAAATATATATTGCCCATGATTTTATATTATTTCTGTATTTATTTATAGGCTATTTGTATTCTCTATATATTTGTGTTTTGCTCATGTATGTGGCAAATGTTCTCTCAGTTTTTATTTTTATTTTAACTTTGTTATACCCGTTGTCATACAGTAATTGTAATTTTATGTTATTTATTTATTTTTATTTTATTACTTCTGCTTTTGAGTCTTGTTTATGTTTTTCTCACCAGAACTCTACAAAAATAACCTTCTATGTCTTCTTCTAGAATTTTCACAGGATTTTTCATTTCTTCCACACTATTCTACATATCTGCAATGTTTCCATGCTCTCCACCCAATGTATGTGCCTATTCTGTACTGGTATCATGTTGCCTTGATTACTGTCATATTGTAATAAATTTTGGTAACTTGTGGAACAACTTTTCACTTGTGAATTTTATTTTTCAAAAATTTTAAACTATTTTTCACTATGTATTCAAATGGATCTGTTTAAACTAAACTTGAAAAATTCTATTGGCATTTTATGTGGAACTTCATTAAATTCATGGATTGATTTGGAAGAACTGACATCATACTCAATACACACGACAATCATTTAAACCTAGTTTTGTATTTAAGTGATGCCAGTGCTAACTACCAATCCTTGTATTTCTTATCCTCTCCATTTTTTTTTAAGATTTATTTTTACATAATCTGTCCCTTCAATGTGAGACTCAAATCCACAACCCCAACCAAGTTCAAGAGTAATATGCTCTACCGACTGAGCCAGCCAGGCACCCCTATCCTCTTCATTCTTGATTTTTTTTTTTTTTTTTTTTTTTTTTTTTTGTACTGACACAGGTAGCAAAGTTTTTCTTCTCCTTTTTTCCAGAAGGTTATATAATTGTATATCTTAACGTAATTTTTTTCTCACCTATATATGTGAAGAACACCTTGGCTAAATACAAAATCGTCTGAAGCAAGATGTATAGAATAGATAGTTGAACTTTATACTAGAACCAGAAAAAGGAAACCTGAAATAGTTCTAGGTGCTTTTCTGTCAGGTTTCTATCCAAAGCCTCTTAGTCAATGGGGCCCTGCTGGCAGTCCCTTCTTTTACCTAATTAAAGGGAAAATGCTTAGGAAGAGCCTGGTACCAGGGATAAACATCCCCTGAGAATACAAGACATGAAAACCGGCCTCACTAGTGTTCTCATTTGCAAATAAATCTGAACAAAAAGACATCAGAAGTTTTTTGTATTGAACAGACATTTAAAAAAAAACAAAACTGATTTGGAACTTCTAAGTGATACTGATAACTGTCCAGTCAGGAAAGAGAAATCACAGTAATGTGAACAGGGAAAATTTAATATTAATAATTGTCAGTTTTAACAATAGAAATGCTTTTCTAGATATGTCTCCTCAAGCAAGGGAAACAGAAGCAAAAATAAACTATTGGGACTACTTCAGAATAAAAAGCTTTTTCAGAGTGAAGGAAATCAACAAAATGACAAGGTGACCTACTAAATGGGAGATGATACTAGGAAATTATATATATGATAAGGGGTTAATATTATATATTTGTACAATTCAACACCAAGAAATACAAATAATTCAATTGAAAATGGTCAGAGAACTTGAACATTTTTTCCAAGGAAGACATCTAGATCGCCAACAGACACATGAAAAGATGCTCAATATCACCAATCATCAGGAAAATGTAAGTCAAAACCTAATGAGATACCACCTCACACCTGTCAGAATGGCTGAAATCAAAAAGATAAGAAATAACAAGAGTTGCTAAGGATGTGGTGAAAAAGGTAATCTTGTACACTCTTGGTGGAATGAAAATTGGCACAGTCACTATGGAAAACAGTGTGGAGTGTCCTCAAAAAATTAAAAATAGAGTTACCATATAACCTGGTAATTCTACTACTAGATATTT